TAAAGAAAGAAACAAACTTCCTTTTAGGTAGTACATGGTCTCCCATTGTTTTGTTTTGAAAAATGCTCTTCATAGCAGCATTAGGCTTATCTCTTTACCTGTCGTGACCCATCAACTCAAAAAATACATACTACGTATATATATAACTAATCAGAACAAGCTGTTTAAAAAATGAAAGAACCACTTAAGAAATCCACGTGAATAGAAACATGTCACTGAATCTGGGTTTCTAATATTTTGGTGTTGCGTTTTTATTACTCGTATTCCTACAAAATATGAATACAAATTAATTTTTCAGTACGTCTCCTCACAAGAAGAGCTCAGTATCCGTATCAATGTGTATATTTCATCTTTCTTCTAACCACACAGTTCTTTTTTTCCAACCTTGTAGATTAGAGTCTGATAATCATTTCCTGCTTTAGTTAGTATTAATTTTTATTTGCTTATGTTGCAATGACTACTCTTTATAGTTACATTTTTGTACAAGTCCTTGATACCCAGCTCCTTATAAAACACTTTAACATATCCTTAAAATGGTAATTTGTACGATAGATAAGTTCATACAATTTCTGTAAAAAAAAAAGTACTGTTAATTAAGTTAAAAACGCCAGTTTATCTATGTTATTTTTACCACAAAACTGCTACCTCAGTAAAAGACATACAATCACAGAAGGAGTTTTTCTCTGTAAACTGTATTTGCTATAAAACTTTCAATCTGTACAATAAACAATTTCTGTCTATAAAAAAAAAAGTCAATGATGCTAGGGACAATTTTTATTTCACAGAATGTACAGCTTATCGTACTTACAACATAAAGGTCTTTATATTATCCATTTTTAGTTATATCAATATATATTTGTTTTTCAACTGAAGACTGCTGTGAGAGCTATTTATACAATTGCAAACAAAACAAAAAGTTGGCATTTTCAACCAACAAGGAGCACGTTTATTAGTTAAAGGTTTCTTAGTTAGTTATACTTACTTTCATCTCAAAACTTTATACCTGAGACAGCTAAAACTTGACAAATGTAACAACTTACAAAAGATGTATTAAAAGATATAAATATTACTCTAAGAAGACTTTTCATACAAAAGTTATTTTATTTTTTATAAGAGGAGGGACTGAAGTATCTTTAAACCATAAAAATAACACTTTAAATCTCTCCTGAGTAAGGAATTCAACAATAGAAGAAAATCGGAACTGTGATATACAAATTTTACTGTAGAAAACAAAAACCCATAAGCTCTAAAAATATTTTCAGCTTCTTGTGTTCATTCACCAACTCAGTACAAGGTGAAATCACCTTTGTAACAAGTAATTTATCCCTGAAAGACCTGAGCACGGAAATATTACACTATCTATACTAGAAGCTGGAGGACCAGTTTCTGAAAGTCGTATACATTTAGTTTGTAACGCACACAAACCTACATATTTCACAAAGTACCAAACATATTTTGAGACTTATATATGAAACAAAATAAATTATGATAAAAACAAACTGTTTGGCATCTGTGGTTAAATGTGTATAAATAATCGACAGCTTTAATCTTAATACGAAGCAACAAGTAACCGGTGTGTGTGTATTACCTATGTCTGTTAATAATTTAACACAAAGAACATCAGTTTTCCTAAGATCTGCTTTCAATAAAACAGAGTGAAAAGTAGACATTAGCTGTGGAAATCTTACTTTTACGTTACACTTACACAAATTTGCAGTTTTGAAAGTGAAGAATTCACTAAACGTGATTCAGTATTTCATGGAAGTTACCTTAGGGAGGCGACTTTTTTTTTAAACACATAAATAGGCAAACCAAATTAAACAACTGCAGAGTACTACCAAAACACCCAACTACATTGGACTTCTGTATGTCGAGAATGAAACCAATTTTAAATCTATATGTAATTATGAAAAACGGAGTACTTTCAAAATATTCTCTAACACCCAACTACATTGGACTTCTGTATGTCGAGAATGAAACCAATTTTAAATCTATATGTAATTATGAAAAACGGAGTACTTTCAAAATATTCTCTAAGTAGAGAAATTTAATGAACTTTAGTTGTATTTCAAAAGTAGTTGAAATATACAAACTAGTTGTAAAACTCCACATATTTGACACTTGTATACCATTTTCTGTAAAATCAACTCAACAAAAACAGAAATCTGTGTCATCAATATAACACTGAAATAAATATAATTTCTCGATTTAATAATAATTTCACTGATTCACAATTTACGTGATTTTCATAATCTCCATTTCAATGAAGGAGCTTAAAGTGCAAATAAAAACAAAAAATCTCTGGTTCAGAATTATCCGATATTATAGTAAGTGTGGCACGTTTCAGGTCCGACTATTGAAGGCTAGACCCTTATGTAATATAGCACTTATTCCCATATTCATCTCAGAAACTCTTGTCAATTCAAAACAACTATTTCCTGTAAATTGGCTGAGCTCACAAACACTTAATTGTGAATGAACACAGAACCATATTCTAAGTTTTATTATGTTTTCTCCACAAGTGCTGCATAAATGAAAACAAAATTTAAATGTGATTCTTTTAAGTGACCATACAACAATTGGGTCTTGGGTAACAGGTTTCAATGTTAACTGGTTCTTGTTTTAAAGGTATTTCGCATCTTTCTTAAAAGACAAGTCTTGTTAAAAGGACAATTTGTATCGAAAGTTATAGTGCTAAATCTCTACTGTCATCATAGCTTGCAAGGAAAGCTCGGTACACAATGCTTCTTGGTGACAAAATGTCTAAACATGTTTTGGTACATACCTCTTGCATTAAAATTTAAGGAAATTTAGACAGAGAACAATACCTCTTAACATTAACTCTTAATTAATGTAATATTGCACAGTACCATCCGACGTTAAATTTCTAAGGAAAGTCACAGTGTGCAGTAACTCTTGACATTAAAATTTAATGAAATTTAGACAGAGAACCATACCTCTTGACATTAACTCTTAATTAATGTAATATTGCACAGTACCATCTGATGTTAAATTTCTAAGGAAAGTCACAGTGTGCAGTAACTCTTGACATTAAAATTTAATGAAATTTAGACAGAGAACAATACCACTTGACATTAACTCCTAATTAATGTAATATTGCACAGTACCATCCGACGTTAAATTTCTAAGGAAAGCTACAGTGTTTCTTCATATTAAAATGCCTAAAGAGGGTAATTAACTGATAAATCACCATACAAGTAACGGATTTCAAACTTACAATTTCTGATCTACTTCAAACTTGGTACATATGTTTCAGCCTGGTCAGGTATAAGAGTACAAGTTTGAGAGACCGTTAACTGATAAATCACCATACAAGTAACGGATTTCAAACTTACAATTTCTGATCTACTTCAAACTTGGTACATAGTTTCACCCTGGTCAGGTATAAGAGTATAAGTTTGAGAGACCGTTAACTGATAAATCACCATACAAGTAACGGATTTCAAACTTACAATTTCTGATCTACTTCAAACTTGGTACATATGTTTCAGCCTGGTCAGGTATAAGAGTATAAGTTTGAGAGACCGTTAACTGACCTTTTGCTCAAAACTATTTGTACTAGGGAGTTATAGAATTGTAAGAATGGTATATAATATGCATTATAAAAAAAAAAAGCAAACACTTTGATGCTTATGTCAGGATGAAACCACAAAAACTAAAATTAAAAATATTTCAATGCTCCTACTACTCAGCTACAACGTTACACGTAGAAAATCAAACCTAACCTAACTTTTCCATATCAAAGAAACAAACAATATTTAAATAACATGGCTTGTAAGTAGCTGGAACAAATGTTTTACCTCAATCATTTTATAAAGCATTTCTGGAGTTACTGTGCAATTTCCATAAACAAATTACACCTAATACAAATCTCTACCATAAATAGTTTTTGAACAAAAGATGAATTAGAAGTTAGGGAAGGGATCATCCAAGTTCTGTCTCTCTACAAGTCTTGACTCAATTGAGCTAAAAATTTAAATTATTTCATTTTTCCTAAAACAACACTGTATACCTAATATGATGCAAACCAGAAATAGTAACAATGTTATCTGTAGAGTGATTTGTCAAGGAATGACCCAGGAAAGTTACAAGCACAATACCTCGACTCACCAAACTTTCTAATCAAAGTTACGGGAACAATACCTTTATTTTTTATGAAACTTTCTAAGAGAAGTTTCAATTTATAATAGTAACAAATCTTTTAATCAGAATTTATACAATAAAACATGGTGCACAATGACACGTGTTAAAATATGATAATACCCCAAGCTCTTCATAACTGTAAATAAGTTTAAGCTGATATTTCAAAATCACAGAAACTTAGCATTGTGCAAAAATTAAATACAAATATTTTCAGTAAAAAGAGGCTCAATGTAGCCACCTAGTGGTCAATCTGACACTTCCCTGCATCCTAATATACAATTCATATATATAGATATCATTTTTGGCTTACAGCTGTTAAAGGGTATTTTGAAGTTCTAGAGGGCGTTTCAGGGCTGTGCACAGAGCCCGTAGATTAGTTTAGGTTGCCCACTACTGCTTGAGGTGCAGATGAAAACTGTTTAATTAAAAACTTTGATAAAATATTTGTTTCACGAGCACAGGAAATGTTTGTTTTATGTTGAAACTTTACGTAAACAAACAGAGAGGAAAAATAAGCTTTCTTCTCTTGATTCGGGTGATAAAGACCATGTGCTAAGCACCCAAACACTAAGGCATTCTGTTCTTAAAACGTTTTATACTAGCAACAAAATTGACTAGATATCAATATTATATTTAAATAATCAAAATGAGACTGTTTAATTATCAATAACTGGTGTTATACACAAAACATTTGCCAGTCTTTATATAACAATAAAAAAATGAACTACTTTCAACCATAACTTATTTATAATTTGTGTTTTTTTACATTTTCAGAAGAAAAATTATATTGTAAATATATTGATATAAAGCACTTTTTTTTTCTTTAATGAGTACAATTGATTCACCAGTAAAAATTCATAAAACCTATCTTTACATGCTCTTAGAAATTAATAATTTGAATAAAATCTTGTTCTTCCACAGCCCTTGGCAAAAGGGGATTGAACTTGTTGTACTACACGAAGGACGATTATTCACATAAAACAACTATTTTGACCACAATAGTCGTTTACATTTTCACAAACATTCTACAATAAAATTAATTTTTTTTGTGTGTGTGTGTTTTATTTATCTACTGACTAATTCTTCTGATATTTTCTCTTATTCAACTACTCTTTATAAGTCGATGCTGAGATCAGTAAGCTTAAAATGAACATTTAAATAAAATATAAAAACGAAAAAAAAATAGTTTCTAAACATTACTTACAAACAACTCGAACGTATTACTTTATTTCCTGTCCATACACTATAGTTTATCACACCAAAACACCGGGTCACTAGCTTTAAAATCACAGACAGTGCATGCACACTATCCTCAATACATGCTTACAAACAACTCGAACATATTACTTTATTTCCTGTCCATACACTATAGTTTATCACACCAAAACACCGGGTCACTAGCTTTAAAATCACAGACAGTGCATGCACACTATCCTCAATACACGCTTGGTTACCTAATTAATAAAATATGTTCCATCCTAAACCAGTTACCTGTGATTCAGTTTATAATGTCCACATCATGTAACTCAATTCAGTCTTTAATATCAGAGTAAAAAATGTGCACTTCCAGGCCAGAAAACTGTCTTACAGCCTGTAAAATTCTTCTGGGTTAGTTCTTAAGAAGAAAGGAATCAACGAGCTGAATTAATTCCTTTAAGACAATTTAAATTAATTATGAAAAAATACAGTAATACGAACGGTACTAAAATTCCATACCAGTAAAACAAGTTCTGTTCACAGTGACATACCAAAATAAAATAATGAACTGGAAAGAAACAGATTTTAAAACTAAGCAGTTAATGAAAAAACTTAAAACTTTTTTGAAGTTTTGTTTTCAGTCTAACATCTGTATTGTAACAGCCACAGGCCTTACAAACAGAAAGGAGCATGTTCTAAGTATCCCTCTCTGTTCAAAGAGATACTGAAAGTACTGTAAAAAAAAAATTAAGTTTGGTGTAGAACTATGCTATTTCAGAAAGTTTCAGATTCCAAAATTCCAACATCAAATTTTCTGCCATGTTGTGTACAAAAGATATTTGTAGTATAATTTAAAATGTCACGAAAATAATATTTTTAACAATGTCCCAAGGGTTCATCAACGTATCTAGCAAATTATATAATGTTACGGAGAAACCAAAACTCAAGTGATAAAACCCATTAAACAAAATAAAACCAAAAATCCAGTATTTTCTTCCAATAGAAAAAGGTAACAAAGATTCGATTCAACTGTGTGTATATATATAAATATATAAGAACCTATCAATAAAATCTAGTTCAATAAATTTACCATTCTAGTATCATATAATAACATAACAAATGTTCTCATAGAACACACTTTACCCACAACAACACATTAAACGCTGATCTCTGTCAAGTTATGCTTCATCCCTGTTGTAACTATTCTTATGGCTTTTTTACACGAAGCCATTTTTCCCAACATTGACTAGTGTTAACTAAGTCTCTAATCGAGAAGAGAGACCTCAAAGTTCTAATATTGTACCAAATGACATACATTTGCTATTATATAGTTTTCTGAATAGTTTACATACATATCTATCACAAAATGAAGCATGCTACAAAGCTATGGTAACAGGATTACAAGACTATTCAACATTAAATTACAGTTATGCATACAACAACCAAGTTTTTCACTTCTTTTAAAATAGTTTGATTGTGGAGAAACTTGATTTCTGTATGCTATCTACTATTTATATATATCTCATGAACTTTTTTAAGGATCACATACTCACCAATCTTATAGACTATAAGTATGATGCTAGCTACATAACTATCCCTAACGGCAGTCTGCTAATATTTTATACGATAATTTAAACTACCTGAGGGGATGAATAGGAAGCAGGATGTAGTATATGCACAATTTCACGTAGTACTGTAATGTAAGGCTGCTAGCAACTTTAATTAAACAACTCACAACATACTTAAATAACTTGTAAAGTACTGCAAAATTTGGATACACAAACTGACTGTAGACCAATACAATGTTTCCAGAGCCAAACTAAACAACTGTAGTGCATTGTACAAACTACAAACTGACTGTAGACCAATACAATGTTTCCAGACTGTGGTGGATCGTAAAAACTACATTTTAGCTTTACAGAGGACAACACATTACTAGTAATGGGAATATGAAGCAGACTACTTAAAGTCTAGAAATCCATACAATCTTCAAATTCAAAATTTTGAGACGTTTTAAAAACACTAATACCAACGAAAAGGAACTGTTCTTGGCCTGTCAGCTCCTTCTTTCACTAGGGGCTTGTGAAATTCACGCCCAGGTCGAGAATGGATTGCCGCCCAACACTGCTCACAATAGTACTGGAGGCAAGTCACATTAGCGCAAAAGAATGGAGCAAACTTACCCCCGCATCTAACACCTTGGCACTCATCACACATCTGATCATCCAGAACATACGGTTTGACTTCAACCTAAGCAAAGAAAATAATTATGAGGCAGTTTTTCATTTCACTAGATTAAGAAAATAAAATTAATACTAAAATTAGCCTGAGAAGAGCTACTGTAAAAACTTCTTCAGCATGTTCTTCCATAATTTGTTTTTAAATTTTACCATCCTAGAAATGTTCACCAGACTGAGATCTGGTGAACGTTGGGGCCAGTTTGTCATCCAATCTACTTTCTTTTTCCACCAACGAGCCATAGAAGTTTAGTTGTGTGTTTGAGATCATGATCTTGTTGGAACAAAAACTATCTTACGTTTATATTCCTAGTTGAATTCTCCAGATTCCCCTGTATATTATCCCCGTACATTTCTCCATTCATATTGCCTTCTACTTGTACAAGTTCACAAACATCTGATGCTGACAAACATCCCCAAACTTTAATGTTGCCTCTTTCATGTTTTTTAATATGCTGCTAAAACTCTAAATCTTCTCTAAATTCATTAGTTTCGCTTTCATTATCACTCTCAATTTACATTGCTGACAAAACTTTTGGGTTCTGGAAGAAATTTTTTGTCCTTGTTGACAGTGCTGATGAATAGCTTTTTTCTAAGAACCTGATCACTGAAACTCTTCTCTTTCCATTTCTTACAGTTTGTACCAACACCTTAACTCCATAGTCTCCAGGCAGCTCTTGCAGAATACCTGAAGCACTAACTTGTTTGCTTCTTCCAATCTCGGCAACAACAGCACTTTCTCGTTGCTGCCTCGGCAACAACAGCACTTTCTCGTTGCTACTTCGGCAACAACGGCACTTTCTTATTGCTACCTCGGCAACAACGGCACTCTCTCGTTGCTACCTCAGCAACAACAGCACTCTCTCGTTGCTACCTCGGCAACAACAGCACTTTCTTGTTGCTACCTCGGCAACAACAGCACTTTCTTGTTGCTACTTCGGCAACAACAGCACTTTCTCGTTGCTACCTCGGCAACAACAGCACTTTCTCGTTGCTACCTCGGCAACAACAGCACTTTCTCGTTGCTACTTCGGCAACAACAGCACTTTCTCGTTGCTACCTCGGCAACAACAGTACTTTCTTATTGCTACCTCAGCAACAACAGCACTTTCTTGTTGCTACCTCGGCAACAACAGCACTTTCTTGTTGCTACCTCGGCAACAACAGCACTTTCTCGTTGCTACTTCGGCAACAACAGCACTTTCTTGTTGCTCTATGGTAATTCTTTTCCTATCTCTGCCTTTCAAGTCACTCACATTCACAGTTTGTTTGAACTTTTACAATGTACTATCTGGTATGGTATATTCAGCTTTTTCCTACTTCTCTCTGGCTTTAACCTTCATTGTATAACAATACTACCTCCAGAGTACTTCACTCTCTTCATCATTTTGAGGCAAAATGGCAAATTATTCTGAAAAAAGTGCCTCTTATTCTAACCATTTAGATTTTTATTTGCATAATTTCAGTTAATACTAGTAAAAATACTTTTCAGAAAATAATATAGATTATATTTCTACATAGTTTGTTGTTTGAGTGCATCTGGTATAACATTTTTGTTTTAAATAGTTTAAAATCTGAATTTTTACTAAACACAAATAAGCAGCTTTATCACTGAAACATTGAAATTTAATATTAAAGATCACAAAAAAAAAGAGGAACGTTACACCACCTGAATAATTCTTGTAGCCATTGTGACTGTTAGATAATATACCATTTCAAGCAGTGACCTTTTTTGTTTAACAATTTGTACATACTGAATCATCATGTTTACTGCCTCACAAAAAAAGATGAAAAAAACCTTCAGTACCTTTTAGTTTTTCATAATTCAAAGTCCAACATGTGACTTTAATGGGAGTTATTCATTCTACAACAACCACTATTTTGAACTACACACAGAGCAACTGAAAACAAAACACATTAATATCATAGAAGTAAAGATCTTTAGATTAAGTCGGTACGAAAAAACCACTGTTTATTCATAAGTTTACTAAATGATTTATGGAAATAAAATTCAACGAACCCTTTTCTCTATGTCTCCGTGCTGGAGTTGCACAAAGCGTGCACTAATGGCAGCTATGTAGCTCTGCTGACTCGAGAAAGCCACACGTCCTGCTCCTTTTGGGTATTTCAGCTCTGGATCAGTATCAATGCCAGCATAGCACACACCACCATACAGTCTGTCCATAATAGTAGCTAATTCAACTGAAACATCACAATCAAGTAAAAAAAAAAATCTTGAAAATTACACTAACACAAAATTACACAAAATGCAATACATAAATATTACTAAGATATATAATTTTATGACCTTTTTTTTGGGGGGGGAGGAGAGTTACAACTTAAACTTTCCAACTAATTATCATCCAGTAAGAACGTTAAATATAAGGATAATCCACGTGATGGATTGATTCCATCTATTCAGTGTAAGTTTGATACCCTCCGACTGTTCCACATTAGAAGAAAAAAAATGATTAATTCGTCATAGCTTTAATTCCCTAATCAAAAACCTCATTGCTTTTCATTTTGACTCAATTCTACAAATTACAACATCAACTACATCATTAGGTTTAAATGGATGCTTGGTAAACTTCTTTTAAAGAGATTGTTTTACATTATAAAAATAACTTAGAATCAATATTAAGTTTGTTTACATTTCCTTTTTTTTGTTAATAATTACTGTCTACATGTAGACTTTTCAATGTAGCTTACAACTCATCACACGCACACAGCCAAGACCACATGGTATACTTACATGCTTTCAATGGTCGAGGAACACCTCCTACAAAGACAGTCTTCCTTGGATCAAGTGGCAAGGAGGAGTCAAATACATAGTCAGCATCGCTTATTCTCCACGGACGTATTTGAACCTGAACACACACAGAATTTTTGATGAGTATGCACACACTAGTCCAAACCAAGTGAAAAACTTACAGAAAATCTGTAGTGTGTTAGTTCAAACACACATGATAACTTGAGGGCTTTTTAAGGATAAACTCCCTCTCCCAACAGATACACTGGAAACATTTAGGGCTGCGAGTTTTTTAAACCAATGTTTAGCACTTTTTCTATCCTACTTATACTTATAGAATCAACGATTTACACAACTGTATGTTTGATTGAAATCAAAGCCAGTTTCATGATAAGTTGTAATCCTCACAGAAATGGGATAGCTTAGAAAAACTTTAAAAAAAATCTTTGTTTTAAATAACAATACACACATCACTACATCAGTTAATTTCCCCTAAAAAATTATTATTGCCCACAGATGTAGGTATACAGTGAAATGTAAACAATGAAGATTAAAACATCCTACTAGCATAAATACTGCAGGATTCAAAGGTCTCCTCATGATTCACAGAGGCTCCTTCATTATCCCTATTTACTTCTATAGCTACTCCAGGGGAGGTCTATACCCCCAAACATCCACTAAGACAACCACCCTCCTGATACCTTAGCACACACGAGCCAATTTTGGTCCTCCTAATTTAGGTTATGAATACAGTTTCAAAAGTGGCAACCCCAGGAATCCCAGGGGAGTGGTGTGGGGGTGGGCAGGAACATAAAATCCGATGCCAGGTTTGAGTTTATTAACCTCAAGCCTATTCCTAGACCCCAGTCAGCTTGGGGGGGACCTTTTGTGAGCTTCACCATATAGATAGGGATAGACCTTTTGACCACACCCAATCAGGTTGTCAAGTTTGGTCCTACTAGCTCCAAAACAACTGTGGGAGGAGTTCACTGGCAAATGAAAAACAAGTAAATTCATAAACACACACAAACAATCAATTCCTATTAGGTACACAACACTTTTTGCCATCATTATTTTATATCAAAACAAGGGCTACGACATGCTAGAATTTTTAACAATAACAATTTACAACAGTGTGTGAGAACAAGAGCCATTATAATAAAACAATTAGTATCAAAACATGGGTTTCTACCGTGTAGGTCACTACCAGAACACGTATTTGTATCAAAACATGGATTTCTACCAACTGTGTAGGTCACTACCAGAACACGTATTTGTATCAAAACATGGGTTTCTACCAACTGTGTAGGTCACTACCAGAACCCGTATTTGTATCAAGACATGGGTTTCTACCAACTGTGTAGGTCACTACCAGAACCCGTATTTGTATCAAGACATGGGTTTCTACCAACTGTGTAGGTCACTACCAGAACATGTATTTGTGTCAAAACATGGGTTTCCACCAACTGTGCAGGTCACTATCAGAACATGTATTGTCCAGATGGATTGACACCCTTTTTAATAAAGTTTAATTGAGATAAATTATTAAGTTTGTAGGGAGGTCTTAGTTCAAGGTATTGAATTTTTATACAATAATAAAACAGTGTGTATCAAAATGTGGCTACTACCATTCTATTTTTCACACTTATAAAATAATTGGTTACAACAGAACTAATATAACTCATATTTTAACTTCCTGTTTCATAAAATAATGAATCAGGAAGTTCGATTTGGAACTGGTGTTATGATATTTTGTATGCTAATGAAACATTTTGTGTCACGTAAGAATAGACATAAGGCTAAGTCACTTTAAAGATGTTCTGATGAAACATAAAACCTTAGAATGAAATGTTAAACATCATGTACATATAAGCATGAGGCTTTTCAATGTGACACAAAATTGACAATAAAAATGCTTGTACATTATATGTGTGTGTGTGTGTGTGTGTGTTTGTGTGTGTACTAATCCAATAAAGAAGAAACACCAAATAAACATTAAAATTTACACCAGTTATAAGAAAACTAAACTTAAACCATTAACTGTGGCTGGTACATATAAGGCCTCTAAATGTTTCTTTGTTCGCTGCATCAACTTGGAGTCAATGCTATCTTGTAAATCCATAAAACAATCTGTATTATTCTCAGCTTTGGTTGCATTGCTGCCACAGCAGTGAGATGTTATCATACAGGTCTCTCTTAAAATCTTGAAGGTAATTGATGCATAGAAGGCAGAAATAATGGACTCACTGTATGGCAACATATAATGGAATGTCAATGGACAACATTACAACAAACATTTACAATCCAATACTTTGCATGGGAATCTTGAAGGTAATTGATGCATAGAAGGCAGAAATAATGACTCACTGTATGGCAACATATAATGGAATGTTGATGGACAACATTACAACAAACATTTACAATCCAGTACTTTGCATGGGAATTTTAAAAACAAGAATCCATACGTGTACCAGCAGCATTCAACAGAAAAAAATTTAGAGACCATATATATATATATATATATATATATATATATA